GAGTCATGTATGTTTGGGCTAAATAACCTATAGAATGCTAGACGGAAGGCAGAATGCCTAGATACCTATACCGTCATGAAAATCTATATTTGCATTAGGACACATGGAATCGCCGGCTTGCAAACTAGTAATAAATTAAGGCACACACAACACAATTTGAAAGGAGTTTGATACAAAGACGCACGACAGAGTCCGCTCTATTCTCATCCCGCAAGTCAAGCTTCAGAAATGATTTCAGGGCAAGGGAGGACCCACCAGGATGTTCCATTGGGCGAGAGTGCTGTATGGTCTAAGAACTTACTAATTTCCTATTTTTCGTCTTCTAAGAAGCACTTTGTCAGTTTACCATTTATGGCAGGTGGGGTCGTCTGAACAACTTATTAAGTGCTTTACTAGCTTTTGTTCATATGACATTCTTCATCTCTCTCAAAATATCACTTTTCGACATTATAGGTTTAGCTGGCACGTATGTATACATGGCGCCAGAAGTGATAAGAGAAATTCCGTACAACAATGCGGTTGATGTGTGGTCATGTGGTAAGTCTAGTTGTTTTGCATCTCGCCACTGCTGCATGAGATTCACGGACCATGAATCTTTCGTTTCTGAAACAGCCATTGACATTCCACAGTGCGTGGAAAATGACACTCAACGGATATGAAGCTTTCTGCGACATAGCATCAGCTGATTGTTTAAGACATTTTTTAGCAAGCTTGTTGTTTGATTTTATTCCCGGAGATGCGGTGGGACTATTGGTGTACTATGTAAATATTTCCGATCAAATTCGGGACAACGAAATAGTGCAAACTTTGGACGGTGCACGGATAAGCAAATGTGGTCAAGTTCATGCGGATTACATTACCTGAACGGAGTTTGTAGATACAACAGTCTTGGGCGGTTCACTTGGGTTTACTTAAATACGGTGCTACAGAAATGGATTTTTTGCTCCTGGGGAAAGTAAGAGTAGTTATGTCATGGCGAGTGGTTAATGCATGATGCAATATGCCTATTTCTAGCGCTAATTACAATTGACAGGATAGTGTTGTGTCCAGCCAGAGACAATTGTAGGCGCCAAATACTGATTGCAACTTATCGGCAAATAACCTGACGACATTCTTGGATCAGCCTCCTACGATAGTGACTAGCTGGCTCCGCCGGCATCTCTGGTCCAGAAAGGTGATTTAGTTCCTCGTTCAACTCACGATAACACGCAACATCCGATTAGTGTAAACCATATTGTTTCAGTCAGCAAATGCTTTCGCTTTTGGCAACGGAAACCTTTTTCTGGAGCCTTTGATTTCAGGAGATATCACTCGCTCGTCAGTCTTTTCACTTTGCTGTTGAACGCTAGTCTTAACGAGTGCTGTTTACCAAGCTGAATAGACTGCATTGGTTGGCGTTAACGGATGTGGTCTACAACTTTTTGTATTACGCACTAGTACTCACGTTTTCCAACTTGGGCAAAGTCCATCACCCTACCGCGGGCCTGATATCATCCACAGTAAAGGTAAGGTATCATTTGGAAGTTCGCTTCAACTGTACCAACCCCGATTTGTGAAAACATGTTCAGACGACGACATGGAAAGGTGAGAATTTTCTGAGGCACAGCACATACCGGTAAATTTGGACTAGGTAGTCGACAATAAAACGACTAACAGAAAAGATACGGTATCATTATCTTAAAGCCGTCTGTGGGCGCAACTTGGCAAAATTTCAGCAGATCGGCCCAGTTTATTTTGATAAAAGCATGTGTGGTAATATCCTAAATGATGGTGACCAAATAGTTGTACAGTTTTGGACATGTGAGTGTGTGTACAAAATCGCAAACTGCCATGCTGGGATTTTATGATGACCCCTCCCCACCGAGACTCTCGGCTTGCATGCTCACTGTCCAAATAAGGAAAGTGCAGACTTATAGATGGAGTAACTTAAAATAATAAGTCCTATGAAACGATTAGCTCTACAATTGGTTGGCAATTTGAACTCAATTCAGAACCGAACTGACTACTTTGTTTCTGCATATGGCTAATCCACACAGAATTTTTGTAGCTACTGGCCAACCATTTCGCTTTGAATATAATGCAAACTGTTTTTGAATGTTGAAACCAGATGGCAGTTGTGTCATCCCAATTCTGACAATAGATGTACAGCCCGATGACTGGATCTTTTCACGTCTATGTACCTAGGCGTTATCCTCTATTTGTTGCTGGCTGGCTATCCACCGTTTATGGACAGAGACGACGACCGTTTGCAGAGAAAAATTCTTACCACTCGACACACTGTAAGTATTGTGTGTAAGACTCTCCTATATTATTAGGGTACTTTTTAGAGCATTAGAATAAATGTATGTCTTGAGGGCAACAATTTTATTTAACCTTTCTACCACGTAGACCAAAGAGGCAGCGATGAACCTATAATAATAATATAACGATAACAGTAGTCCATCTATAGCACCATTTCGGTGTCTAGCCACTACACTGCCCGAAGAAGGTAGAAGGACTAGGATTCTGCCAGGTTTTTAAGCTTGGGCAGGAGCGGTCGACAGGTCGAGATTGAGTTCGAACGACAAACCCCCAACCAGAATGTTGGCGCGTTAACCACTGAGCTATCTTCAGCTCAAGGCGCAGGCATAGTGGTTCATGGGAGGAGGCCCCGTATCGGTGATTCAGTGTGAATCGTTGCACCTAAACTGAGAGGTACTGCAAAAAACACTGTGCGAGAAAGTTTTCTAAACAGTTTTGGGTATACCGCTCGGTAGCGCCTCGTTCTTGACAAAAGCTTCGTCGGTTCGATAGCCAGTTTAAGTAATGTTTTTGTGTGAGTAATATATAAACGAACAATAGTTATCATGAGTTTGTAGCCTATTTGCTTTGAATGACATGTGGTTTATAACTCCCTTGGTACTGCTTTTGAAAGCCTCCAAGATGTCACGAAACGCTGTGTTTTGTTATCTCTGCCATTGTGATCTACGTAGTCGTCCGCAACTTGCTTCGGTGGGTGAACTCTTAAAGCAGTAGGCACCTGCTTACGTCCGTCAGTGTGATGAGTGAAGACCGAGCAACCTAAATACAGCTCCATTTGATTTTAGTTGTAAAAGCTTGGGGGACTGCACCTACCTGATGAGCCCTATGAAGGGCGAAACCGGTCGTGGGCTGTCGACGGATTTTCAGCAACCTTATGAGTAGTACATCACAAATATATACAGTAGACACCTGCTTATATCCGTCAGTGTGATGAGTAGAGACTGAGCAACATAAATACAGCTCCGTTTAATATTAGTTGTAAAAACTTGGTCAGTTGGCACAAAAATGATATCACCAGTTTAATTTCAAACCATTATCGTCTATTTTAGAAGAAAATGTTCAAAAACATAAAAAGTATATGCAAATGATCGACGTGGAAAGGCTACTGGTGAAAAATAGTCAAAAAGTTTGGGGCACCCCGTCTGTACTCGTGCCACCAACAGTCCCAGTCAGAAAAGATGAATCCCAACGTATGTAAGGATGTCTAATATGGGAACACACCTGTAGAGAAAACTTCCGAAGAAAGAACAAACAATACTGAGTGCCCTTCAAGGCGCGGTAGTAGCTAGCACAGTCAAGACTCGCACAGTGGTTAAAATGTTCGTCATACAGCGTCTGGTGTGATAGTCAGTGGCAAGAGTGTACAGTTAAGATGCATAAAAGTGTCACAAGTACGCACAGAGCCCCTCAATACAAGCAAACACAAGTCACTGACTATGACCTTAGGAAATCCTGGTCCAATAAGAACCTTGGCGGAGTGAGGAAAGCTGATCCCTAGACAAAAAATGATCATCAGATGACGAACCAAAAAGTCGACATCACAGCCGATTGCACTTATGGTTGAGATTACGGCGAGGAAATATTCATCAGCATCATACTCCTGCCTCTCTTGATTCCACACGCGCCATTCATTCTCCGCGCCAGTCCGAGATTATGTTTACGTCTCTCATAATTGTTTGGCGCTCTCGAACAGCGATTAGATCAGTCTTGATGAAAGACGTCGACGAAGGTGCTATCAACTCCTCGAAGTTGGTGTATCCCAGTCGACGGAGACGTTTTGCAAGTTCCCTTGCAACCCGATTATGACGAGCACATCCAGCATCATGCGTGATCTAGCAGGACTACAAAATATGCACCAAACGCACCAGTTGGCCACAATTTCCACGATAAAAGATTGTTTGGCCACCGTGACCACGCCGAGCGCGTTTAACCCTCGTTCTGGAAACACAAGCCGTCGATTTGACACAAGTTAAGTGACAAACTCCCGTAGACCGCAACCATCAACGCTGTTGTGCAGACTAACGACCCTAGCAGCCACCAGCTCTTCCTTGGTGTATACTCATGCACTTTGGACTCGGGTCGGAAGACTGAGATCTCAAACTGCCTGCCAAATGCAAGATCGTTTACCACATTGCGTAGCACTCGGCACTAGGTAGACAGGAGCTTTTTCATACATGCTCTAGCTGTATCAGGATAGTTGCACTCAGACCTGGGATACCAAGTCCCCCTATTGTTTACCGGTGTGGATGTAGCTGATCGGGTTGTCTTTCGATAGACGTAGCCAACCACGAATAGAATGCCTGTTGTAAATATCCTACCTTTTAAGCGTGTTTCGGTAAACTTGGCCGAGCGCAAACAAATATGTCAACCTCGTAATCAGGCGGTTCCTTAAGATCCATTCTTTGGTGTGGCTTCAATGGGGCAAGTGTTACCTCATCGAGCAGTTTGCCCAACTTCTGTTGATGGGTGAAAATTTTTTTCCTCTTGAAGGCAAGAGGATGCCCAAATATGTTACAGTATCTGTTAGACCTAGAGGAGTGGTGAGCTCCTCGGGCGTTGATCTTCATACCAGCTCTTCCCAACTCAACCGCAGCAGCTTCAAGCTTCTATTTAAGGTGAGCTTGACTTTCTGCACACAGTCGTCAGCAAGGGAAAAACCATCTACCAAGGCCTCATGGAGGTGTTATCCTTGTTGCGGCATCGACAATCCAAGAAGCTCATCTATTGCCATGATGAACAATAATGAGGAAAAATGGATCTCCCTGCCTCACACCTCTGTGGCACTGAACCTCGGAACTGGGGAAAATCGCCAAGGCATTCTCATAGGACTGTGCGGTGTATCGAAATAGAGGTGACGGTGTTCAGAACGCCTGGGCAGATTTAGCGATTGTGTTATGCAAAACCAAATCAAACGCTCCCACAGTATCAACAGACGTCAAGCTGAGGTTGGGAACAGTAGCTGAAGAGTGGCGGAGCAGGGTGTGTGGCAGCGATGTAGCTTCCAAACAACCGTCTTGATGTAGAAATGCAAACTGGGGTGAAGACAGTTGGCTCCAGGGATCAGCCAGTACCTAATGAAGCAGCGGGTAAGAAAGGATGACACGGAGATTGGTCTCAGTCGGTACGGTGAAGTCAGATTTGGAGCCCTCAAGCACGACACAGATAATAAAAGTAAGTAAAAATATCCAGCGAGCGTGTTGGTATTAAACCGCACAGCATCCTGAATGTGAGCTAATTTAGACTTACGAACAAACTTTTAATCTGAACGGTGAAGTCAGATTTGGAGCCCTCAAGCACGACACAGATAATAAGAGTAAGTAAAAATATCCAGCGAGCGCGTTGGTATTAAACCGCACAGCATCCTGAATGTGAGCTAATTTAGACTTACGAACAAACTGCCCTTTAATCTGATCGTACAGCCGACTTCTCCACCTGCAAATTGCTCGATCAAACTTCAATTAAACGATAGCACTCAGTGACTTGGTCGGTTATCCACGTATTTTTGGGCAGACGGCACCTGTTTTCAATGCTGCTTGGCGTCCAGAGTTATGTCGCAGTTACTTTTTATGAATCTTCCCATGATCCATCTAGCCTGTCAGCATCTTTACGTCTTTGGTGGTACAGGGTCTGAATGGCGGCATAGTTGCCTTGGTGGATCTGCCTTCGTTTGGCAGGTACCCGATGGACTAGCTGACGACGGCGTCCGGACTCAGTTTTCCAGGTGTGTGGAAATGTCTATTGGGGCGTGGAAGTCCAGAAACGACAAGACTTGCTCCGGTGTAATGATGCCAGGCTGTACCCCTCGGGCAAATGTCATAAGGTCAACTGTGGCAAGCGGACTGTCAGCATACAGTTCCAAGAGTGACTTGGCGCAATCCACGGTTTGTTTAAGCTAGACTCTATAGCCATTGGCTTTTAACAAGTAGGCCGCAGTTTGATCGACCAGCAAAATACTGCTTCAATCTCGTGAACAGCTTGGTTTGCGTGCCACACGATGGATATAAATTGTTGGCCAGGCGCAAGAGTGATTGTGATTCTTGTTGGGATCAGCGGACACCGGAATTCTTCACTCGGCCAGACTTACCTTCAATATGCTGGGTGGAGTGTTCGTGCCGGCGTTGTTGACCCTGGCCAGTCTTCATTGGCAAAAGGTGGGAACAATCACCGCAGGCCAGTTGTGTGACCACGCTTGTACCAACACTTTCATGGACGTGGACTCGACAGTGGGCCACCAAGTCAGCTTTCGATCTGCAACACTTGCCACATTCCTCACACGTTAGCCCCTCGAGTCTCTCCTGTGTACTGACCGGGACTGGTGTTGAGGTGCCGGCTGATTTTTTTTGCACATTGTCGAAAGCAATCAGCCCTGTCTGGGGTTGCTGAACTCAGCTCACTTTGACTTTCCGTGCTACTAACACTGTTGCTTGAGTTTAACAAGAGATATCATCTGAAAAGTGCACAAGAAGGTGGGCTTTGGCTTCTTGCCGCGTTTAAAAATATGCTCAGCTGCTTACCTGAGGTGGAAATTTCACTGAGGTCTTCCGTAACCCCTTCGGTGTATTTAGATGACGGATGTTACAACGCACTGAACCGTGTCCATCATAAACTGCAAGGAACCGCTCCAACTTGGATTGTCGTTTCTTTTCCCCTCATTCTGTCTAACTGAATTTCGTCATCTCAGGTTATATCGCAAATATGGGTTTCCGTAAACTTCATCGAACTTGAAGTTCGTTTTGGATAGTACTTTGTTTTAGAGTTCACAGCTTCAGGTTTGTACACGTCCAATTGTTATATAATGGAAAGAAAGAATAAGCGGTAGTTAGACAGCGAGCTCTGCGAGGGGCAATTTTTCGAACAGCTAGCTGACTAATAGAGTACTAGGTCTACTGTCTGTACGCCTTATCACCTACGTGACTAGTGCCTGCATGTGTTACTTTGTCTCGTGACCAAAGTAAGCTGAGGTGTTTCAGGGTCCATAAGTTGAAGTTAAAAGATGCCTATCTTGACGTGGTCGTAGCAGAGATTTAGTGAACTAGTGAAATAAACGAGTAGATATGCGTTCGACTCACCGTAGAAACTAACATCCCACTTCCATGTGTACACCAGTATTGAACCGGCGTTAGTCTAGATTATCAGTCAAATATGCCTTACTGCACACTTTGGCTCTGTGACTAAACTGAACTTATACTACCTGTATTTGGACAGTACCAGAAATATTTTTCTTGTAGTTGTTTAAAATAAGAGCGCGTTGTCCTAATATCACGTGACTTTAATTGGTGAATATCGCACGGGGGTTTGATCATATTTTATTGCGCTACTTGCTATATTGATTTCTCTCGTGCATGTGTCAGTACCCACCCAATGAATGGAGCCTCATTACCCGGGCAGCGAAAGACCTGATCGATCGAATGCTGGAACGGGATCCATCCAGACGAATTTCAGCAGCTGCAGCTCTTCAACACCCGTGGCTGCGGGTACGTGTGTTTTGAACAAAAACATTTCAGTATTATGCACATGGGTTGGGTGGCCGCTTCTGACGAGACCTAAATGCACTTTTAAAACGATGAAAAATGCCACATCCGATTTGGTGATGCATGCCTTAACTGGTTCAAAAATCAAAATTTGTACTGGTTGAGTTATTTTGATGCGAACAGTATAGTCTTACCAAAAGAAAGTTGTGAGCTGCACGCTTCCGAAAGTCTGGTTTATCACGAACTCACTGATGCATCGTGTCGGGAACGAAGAAGGGTTGTCTTCCTTGTGAAAACAAAGTATTGTACAACGTAATGAATTGCAACGAAGATAGATAGCCAGGTCGACAACACTTATTTGAATATATAGTCATTTACGCGATTTCTTTTTAACCGTCGCAAGTGATTCACAGCAAACGATACATCGGATGTCGTTTTGGAACGACATCAATCAATCCGTAATTTCTGCATGATAGAATATTGATTTTCACACTATTTGAGATATACTTTGGCAACTCAATGATGAACATTTTTTCACAGTTAACTTTTATTTGCCCGAAACTGATAGGAAAGAGCGAGAGTTGCTTCGGACATCCATCTTCGGGAGGCTGTCGATCACCTGAAACAGTTTAATGCACGTCGTAAATTCAAAGTGAGTCCCAATTTTGTCATTTTTTGGGAAATTAGTTGTCGAACCATTTGTGTAGGAAAGTAGTTTTGCTTACAGGCACTCCAGTGCTCCGGGATTTTGGACAGCTTGAGCCCAACCGGCATGAAATTTTGAACTGTGAAGGTTTGTTTCGTAGATGAGGTTTTTGTTAAAAGCACTTAGGTTTTGTCGTCTCATATCAGCACATACCTTTTGGTAACCAGAGAAATGAAAAACTAGAAACATAGTTCACACGAAAAAAATTTATCGTATTTCTTGGCTTCTGACAATCGATTATTGGGTGTGATCTAGATCGCTTCACACCTGATCCTCAACGGGTGTCGGAAGAACGCCACTTGTGGAAAAGGCGATTACATCTGCATCATTAAATTGTTTTGAGAGAAAAAACGATTACCGCTTTCGAGAAGAACAAGGTGGTCAACATGCTGATTTATGCAAAATAGACGGAAAACGTGCATGAACTTTACGAAGTCGTTGGCCATTTGAGTAGTGTTCTAAGTAGTACACCGAGCTTTTGACATCTCGGTTAAGATATTAGTGAAATTAGAGATGGAAATCGTTTAAATTGTGGAACCTATCTGTTCATGGGACGAATATATAGTGTACCATATAGAGCAAACGTGGTACTTCGTATTCGGGGTATCGAACATCGCATTGAGGTTCTCAGGGTTTTGGTTTTGTAAAAGCCGTCAGGTCAAGTTTTATTCCGTCTATAAGTTGGCAACACAACACAAGATTGTACAGACATGTGTATCCCCCGAGAATTCCGGAGAAAAATTGACAGAAGGTGGTACTACACTGCCTAGAATAATTACCAAAGTCACTGTAAGTCACACATTTGATAACCAATACCTGTATTTTATCCATGTGAATTACCCAAATATTCCGCCTGATGATCGGAACAGCCTTAGTAGTTTAATTTCACAAACCACGGGTGAAGAATGCAACTCCACCATAATATCGAATAAAGGATTATAAAGTGCATAGGTGTTCAAGTGAGAATACAATAAAGAAGACTGTATTTCTATGGAAGATTTTGCTAGCTTGGGTAGCGAAGAGGGTGATTGACTTGTTCACTCAGTTGGGCAATTTGACTGCAAATGTTTCATCACCAATCGAGGTGACAACATCAGTGTGTCTTCGGGGAGCGTAGCACAACCACGAACCCATCACCCCGCTCAGCGAACAAGACAACTACCAAAGAGACTGTTTCTTAGGTATGAAAGTTTTCAAATCAGCTGTTGACTTAATGAAGTAAGCACCCGAGTATTAATCAGTAGCAGCAATGTTTTAGAGTACTTGTCTTATCCCAGAGAAGCTCACAATCTCAAAGACGTAAGTGTAGATACAACCGCATATTACTCATGAAGATATAGTGAGATCCAAAAAACCTGCGGTCAATAGCAGCTTGAGACTTTTAACCCAGTGCTCAGATGGCTTGGATATCGTGAACAAAGCTCAAAGTGAAATATGAGGTCCACCTTGTCTGGTCCATTTAGCTAACTTATATTACAAAATGCGAACTAAATCAACCCTCCCTTCGGCATCATTAATTTTCAGTTGGCTGTTTTACCCCCCGCAAGATGTCCTCTTTGGCTGATCAATAAAAAATGTGCTTGGATAAATTATTTGAGTGATTTTTTTCAAGGTTCATCCACATATTGAGTGATTCTTCACAAGCGATGAAACTAAGGATTCCGAAAGCAACATTCGTCATTGGCTACTATACAGAGGTGAGATGGAGATAGCTCAACGCAGACGTAATGGCAGGAAGGCCTGTTGTTTGAACCCAGCCACCGCATCTCGACTACCCCTACCTGGACTTGGGTAACCTGACCGAATCTTAGCATGGAGGGCACGGGAGGAAGGCAACGAAAGAGTGTTACAACTAAACAATTTTGTCCACGAAGAAAACTACTCACAAAGTTGCTGAAAACTCTTCCACAATCCACAAACGGTCTCGATCTTCTTGGGGCTCATGATGTGGCCACAGTCCCCGAGTTTCCCTCAATCATAAGCTCTACTTGAACCCAAATTGGACTGATTTCGGCAAATACAATCAATCTGGTTTTCACTGGAGACTCAAGGGCTTGGTTGTCTAAGCCTACTCAGGAGCGGCGGAGATGCCAAGGTTGGATTTGAAGCACAATCTCCCGGTCAATAAGGTCGCGCCGTAACCACTGAGATATATCGAGCTCACTTACGAAGAAAAGCAATTTATTAGCATCACCCACGGTGACACTTTGCGTTGCTCAGCATGCACAATAGTGAGAGGAATGCAGTCGTTCTGAGTTTTGAGTTTCTGTGGCAAGCCATTAACTTGTAGGGCAATTATTCGCGCATAACTCTTCCCATTACTCATCGTCGTATAGCCCAAGAACCTCAAAACGATGTGACAGAATTCTTTTTGAATGACATTAAATATAAAGAATGATACATTACAGAACTTATCTCTTCAACAATTATGATAGAGTTAGTCGGCCTTTCAGAAAACAACAGCGCCTCATCTTAGGCAGCACTCAATTTAACCGGATATCTTAACAAGTCACATGACGTAGTATCGAGTTACTAATACATTTTTTCGAAGCGAACAAAAAGCAAACCTCTCCTTCGGGGAGAACATTTGAATCAAGTTAAAGCAGTCGAACTGGTAACCAAAAACTCACCCTTTTGTGGAGCAAAACATATGTATCACGTTCTTTTAGACTGAAAATTCTAAAATGCTGGTGAAAGACCGGCATTATTTCTACTGCAGCCATACTTCTCGCCACTGCTAGGTATTACAAATCCTTGTCTGGTGTCACATTTAGCGCACGTTTCAAAATGTTGAGTGGAATGTGAATACTTGGACTCTGTCCATTCTTTTAGCTAAATTTCCGTACTCACGTTTTTTCTTCAGGCAGCCGTTGTGACCACCATGCTTGCAAACAGACAGTTAAAAGGTAAGAACGATAATTAGTAGTCTGCTTTCCGTTAAGATTTTGCCGTTTTTCAAAACACAACAGTATGTCCTACTGCTTCACGCCTACTTAATCACTGGACTCAGTAGTAGTATTTTAGCATAAAATGTCTCACCCTATTGGTTTTGTTCTGACGAGCTCATTGTCCTGACTAGCCGGAAAACGCGTGATCCCCCGCGAGAATAATAGTATTCAGGTGTAAACCAGGAGTTAAGTGACCAACTTTAACATATCCAAACTGTTTGTCCCAATAAGGCTGAAAGATTTTAAACTGTGCATTTTTGGACATAATTAGATTATCAAGTAAAAAACAGTGTTCCTGGAATTTGCTTCGCCATATGTTCTTTGCTTGCAAAGTAATTGCCACTTATCTCTTCTTAGTTTCCGGAAATTTGTGTACTTAGGTTCTGCTTTACTGAACATATTTCGGGGAGAAAATTCTTCCAGGGCTTCAAAACCTGTCTCGTACTTTAGATGATAGGTAACCACAGACAATAGTGCTAAGAAATATTGGCTATTTTCCTTCCAACAATAGCCATCTGAATTGGACTCACTGAAGTCCTCGATTTACGGAAGATTTTGTTCATTAGTTTGGTTGCTCCAGAAGTCGCTATCAAAGCTCGAGGAAGCTTCCCTACATACAGACGATTTGGACACAGCGCGCAGAATCTCTATTTGGTCACCATGATATCGCATCCATGGGATAAAGCTACCAGTCCACGCGTTGGAAGAGGTTACGTCCTGAGACTCCATACTGCACCACATGTTAACCATGCGGCCTTCAGCTTTCATAAAAGGCCAGAACAATCATATGCAATCCACTGATACCCCATTTAAAGAAGCCATCTAGTGGGAGAACAGGTTAACACTACATCATCTAGAACCTAAAAGGTGTTAGAAACATAAGTCTCTCTAGTGACACCACACCACCAATTTAATAGGGTGATGGAATATAGATACTGGGATCGAAAGCTATGATAGACCGCGTTCGCGCTGTGTTCGGCCGAAAAATTTGCAGCAAACCTATTCCGTTGTGAAAACTACGCAGCCAAACTAAGCTTCCTAATAATGGGGGCTCATTTTGCAAATGGATGATTGAATCCATGTGGTATATACCACTGTGTAATTATACGTTCATATATTATATTCGAGTAAGGGAGAAAATAATAGGTAGTAAGGTCGCTTTATTGGATGTGGTACCATTTGAGGTCCCGGTCTTTAGAATGAAATAACCCAATTTTTTTGTTTGTGAATTCTATGAAGAATATCAGTAATCTTGTTCAAAGATACACACAGTGACTGAGTGTGTGACTGAGCAACGTTCCTCTTCTCAAGGAATACTTTATCTTTCGAATACTTTATCTTTCATGTTTGATCCGAAACCTAGTTCACAATATCTTTTCCACTTCAATAATACGTACGTTGTAAAATGTACGAACAGGGTCCTGATGATAACCTCCACGAGATAAAAACCCGGGAGACATTACAGTAAAAGGGCGTTTCTAACAGTCATCCGTTGCGGTACGATGAAGTTGGTTTGTCCACTTCGAAGTGGTAAAGCACTGACCCTCAGCTTGTCTTCTGTTATTGCCCATTGGTGGCAGTTATCATTGGACACTTAACAGGCATGAAAAGGGTATTACTACCAATCTCCTTGCACTCCTAGATTCATACCTGACCTAGCCGATGTAACTGTAACTGTGGTCAATGAGAGTAAAATGAACTTCAGGAACCCTTAAGATATACACGCGTACATATGACCCTTAGGAAGGTAAGTCCATATTTGCCATCAATATAACGACATTAGGTTCTCTGAACAACCGCCAGCTTAAAGTTTCTCTTTCATGTGATCCATACAGCAGTCAGACGTGAAAATGATGGTAAGAGTTTCATCGAACCCGGTTTCGGTATTGACCGCAGCACACTCGATATTAAGGCTAACCCTCATGAGTGAAGGTCCTTGGGTTAGAGTTTAGTATAACGTGCACACTGTTTTAACCGTCCGCCAGTTATGCACCCTAACAACAACTTCTGTTAATTATGACAACTAAAACGTGATCACATGTTGATTTCACCGATTGGATTGGGAGACGCTGTGGTCGATGCCTCTATCTGCTCTAATCCGCTACCAGATTCTACATCCAATTTGGTTATGGCAATTACTGGATTATGTTCGGTGGTTATCCAAGGAAGACCACTAGAAGGGGAATTGGTTGATCTTTTCTAGATGCTCGTACGCACTAGGTTCTGGAAATATCCTGATAGTCTCTATCACAAAAGCTATTTCCAATAGTAAATTCATTCTTCGGGGACTACTGTACCATTTTTCACCGTTTTTTGCTTCGATGAAAAATTATGTTTTGTAGCACCACCGTCGGGTTTGTTCTGCCGCTTACTGATCCTACAGGTAATGTTAAATAACTCTTGGTTTGCAAGAAATCATCAAATCACATGAGTATGTCAACTACACACACCTGGTGTTCAGATAAAACATAAGATTGATGATATCTTGGAGTTACGTCCATCCGATGAGCCACAAAGAGTGCAAAACCGGTCGTGGGCTGTAGAGGGGTTTTCTGCAGCCTTCTAGTATTGGCGGGTTCACTACTTCCTGTTTATCTCCTATATCCTTCCATAGATTTCATCTCAAGTGTAATCCTTTAGGAAGCCAGTGAAATGGCCATTTTTTTACTTCGTTTGAGTACTTTTATGCAATACTTTTCCTAATGCAGGTTTCCTTATTACCGGTGTTCTTTTTCATGATTTCTTATTAAAAACTTAACCAATTGCGTTGGATGTACTTCAAAAAGTGTTCTGACCAGGAACCTAAAAACCTACTTTCTATTTTTCACAAACACTGTTCAGTTCAACTACCTGGTTAGCCTCTGGGATGTAGACTTCCGGACATGGGGAGTAACAATTAACAAACCAGAATAAATTACTGATTTTTACTCAAACATCAGTGCAGTGAATTTCTCTGCTTTAAAAGGATGAAGCTGAGCTTTTGGTGATTTTTACAGTAGTATTATGTCTATTAGCTCTATCTGCGGTTTCTTTTTATTTTTCACCGTCAAAAAAATAATTGGCGGTCTCTGCAAACGCCTACAATATCGTATCGTGCAAACTCCTGGAAACAAGAGTAGTCAAACAGCAATAGTTCGGTGGCTTCTTGAGTGCGTTCTGTGCGCTGCTACATCATTTGAGTAGGGACGTTTATGCACTTGCTTTTACTATTTCTTTGGACATTGAAATCACCTTCGCCGAACAGTCAACAGTGAATCGCCAGTCACTTGATCGCCTGCTAGAGTACCGTTTGAGTGGACCGCGAATAAGTTCGAACGACCCCGTGGACGCCAACTATATGCCAACATCCCTTTGCATACGGCTAGCTGAGCTGGAATGTCCAGCCGATTGCGATGACACATCTACTTACTTTAGACAGTTAAGGTACCGGCCGTGGTGATCTCAAAAACAATGACCGCCTTCAATTTTGCTTCGGGAAAACAAACTGAAATCTACGAGATATATGACACCATTCAATGTTTCCTTCCCGTCTTATGTGTATGTGTGCATCAGATTAGAAGTGTGGCACTCGATTATTTAACTGAGCGTTATTTCAGAATCAGAACTATTTGGTTTGATACTTTGAAATTCTAAAGCAATCTCCTTACCTGCCAATATCCGTAGCTCCAATCGATTCGGCTCAATAGCCGCGGTGTATAGGCATGTATTTTTTTTGCATAATTCATACTCCCTACGTTTCCGTAAAAAAGTAAGACTTGGCTTTACAGTTAGGAGTATAAATTCTGTTTGAGAAATCACCATACGCTCCTGTGAATCACCCTCACTTAGACCACAGTAACCAACTAGTTTTGTAGTGAGTGAACGGGAAACGATGTTTATTTGGTCGGTTACTCTGTACGAAGCGTAAATTTGCGGTTGAATAATTTGCCTTGCGTAACATCGTAGTGTTTTTTTGATAAAACATGTTCCGAGTGCTAACTAGCCAGTTTCTGCTACGATTGTACGACTACGCTGTTGATGGATATCAGCTGACCAATGAATGTTAGTCTTCCAATAGGGTGCATGGTGTTATAAAGTAAGTGGAAGTAAATGTTGTAAGAACTGAAAAAGTCAATGTAGTTTGACAAAGCTTGTATATTCCAACCACGAGAAGATATCAGGAATTACTTTTTTTACTTACACTTTGTCTGGTCCTAATTTTATTACCGAATGGTGGAAACTTCTTCCTATATACAGCTCCCTCTCCGGTTGCTAGCGACAGTAAGTTCTTTTCGTTCTATTTTGTGCTTTGGTGACACTGCCTTGTTGAACAGACCCTTAAAGCATCAAAGACTGTATCTGGAAGGCAAGTAGGTTACCAAGCTTGTTCTTTCTCTCCGTCTCTTTAGCACCTCATCCAAAGACAAGTAGTTGTAAGTTTTAATGGCTATTCAAGTGTATTATCCTCATCTCTCTATTAGGCTGTTCTTGTTTACCTGGATATTAATTTACTTTCGAATCCATGCTAATTCTTCGTAAACTCAGGCTTGGATTTCTACCATGGTTTTTTGGGACGAAGTGTAAATATACGGCCTAGAATTTTCTGCGATTAGTCTATCAAAGTTGTAGACTTTTGCATGGTGCACACTTTTGAATGCAATCTTAGTCCAACTACCGGATCGAAGTGAGGTGGGCAACTGGTTGCATAGATGGACAGATTTGTGAGCAGGCAGAACAAAGGATGTGGAGTGTGGGTGTCGTGTCCGTCCTTGAGAGGAGCGTCTAGATGAATCATCTAGATGTATGAAATTCTCTCTTAAACAGGTCGACAAACTCAATGGAAAGCATTAAAAGATAGACGCAAACACAAGGATGCACAAGCCGTTGCCTAAGATTGTGAGTGAAATCTATATAAAACACTTTGACAAATACACTCATTCGCACATTAACTGGGTTACCACGAGGGACTATTCTATCGCTAGTTGATGATATTCTTCAACTGAATATGCTGCACAAAGGCTGTCTCATGTTTCAGTTGGTACGATACTCGAGATGTTGCAGTAAATTTTCATAAATGAAACTACTCACAAGGTTGAGTACCCATTCCGCAGACCACGACCGGTTTTGCAATTCTTGGGGCTCATCTTGTAGCCACAGTTCCCGAGCTTCTGGCAACTTTATTTTCTACTTGAAACCATATTAGACAAATTTTGACAAATACACTCATTTGCATATCGATTTGGTCTTCACGAAGTGAATCAACTGAACCTCTCGCTCATAATATTCCTCAACTTAATGAACGTCCCTTCAAAACCGAACAGATGTGGAAATGAGTGCATATGTCAAAATTTGTCCAGTTTGGTTTTAACTAGAACAGAAGGTTGACAAAACTCCAGAACGGCGCCTACCTGATGAGCTTCAATGTGGGCGAAACCGGTTTCGGTTGCCGAAGGCATTTCAGTAACCTCGTCAGTAGTTCTCTTTGGAACTAAAATTGTTTTCATAGAAAAACTATTCATTATCTATAGTCTGGAATTAAACGCACGCCTGGAATAATAAAGTAGTTTGCATCAGGTTTCAAAAATAAGATACGAAGTTTGCAGACAAAAGGTCTCTTAAGAGTGAATAGAAAGCAATACTAATGGACATACATAAGCTTGCCAAAAATGTATTGGCCGGAGGTTGCATTACGTGCCCAGAGTTTAAAACGATATAAATAAATGGAATGAATTATCCAGCTGGACTTTACTCCCGACTTGCAGGTTATCCGAACTAGGAAATGCTTTCAGGCTTGATGTCAAGGCATCGGCTATTCTAGAGAGATTATCAGTGATTTTAAGCGCGGAAATAAAATGAATTTTGTTTAAAATCCATTCCAGGTAGAGGATGGGAATTGGGGAGGCAGTAAACATGGCAGATACCAGGATTTTGTGCAACTTCTCAACGGGGAACGAGTTCGGTAATGAGATAATATCTGAATAATCTTGTGACCTTAGTTAGTAGAGTAAAACAGAAACAAAAATAGTGAACACCAAGACATCATTCAAAGCAAGTTACAGCACCAGTTTGAAGGGTTTTGTGCTGAATTTTACTCTGAAAGCTACCACGTATAAGTACTCCATCTCATATACGTATTGATTCAGTGGGAATGTGATTTAACCGAGCCGTAATGCATGACAAGTGTACAGGAGAACATTTGCTACTGATCAAGCCAATACTACGTTTTTCCCTTTAACAATTGTGAATGGATTGGAGAAAACATGTTGACAATAAATGAGTTCATTTGAAAAAATGCTGCTTGTTTGTTTGAGTATTGCCTGCACTTCCTGTACAACAAAAGATCGGTTTTTTACTCATCTCACCGCGGTATCTGATTTCATCAATTTTCAGTTTTATGATATATGATGAGATATAAAATGACTGTAATTGAAAATTATTTTCAATCTGAAGATAGTTAGCTCCTAAGTTTTGGCAGTCGAAAGTGTTCATCCGAATTTGGTCTTCATGTAAACAGCGGTTGGCACTTTGGACCTCACAGTTCGTAAACTGCAGGCATCTGAGTCTGAAACTGAATAACCACACATTGTCACACAAAACAGAATGACCAAAATTAATGTTTCTCGGAAAAAGTAGTTGAATTTGTTTAGGTGCTCAGAGACCGGGGATAATTTAAGAGTCCCTAGGTATCAATCTCTTCAATATGAAATTGTTTCAACTCCTAGATACAAACGTCAAGTTTCTGTGCTCTTGCCAAAATAACACACGTCTGAATTCTGTAGAAACTTCCTGCAACTTTGCGTGGATTTCTGCGGTGGTTTTTCCTACAAATGAAAAAAGTTACCTTGAGACCTTTGTTGCCGTCTGATTTCGTTATTTTGCCTTCATATATTATCAGCGTTGGTCGTTTTAACAGCTCTGGTCACGTATGTTTCTGTGAATCCTACACAGTGA